TCCTCTTTTTCTCCACTTCCTTCTTCATCTTTGTCTTTGTTGCCATTCTTCTTTCATTTTGTTGTTACTTCAATTGGTGAGGAGCTAGACTTAAAGCCCAATTGTAACATCCTAAATTTTGAGTCCAAAGGTACAAGAAATAATCTAAAATGGGTAGGTTATTAGACCCCAATTGATAGGAGTCCCAGAAGTTTCTTGAAAAGATAAGAAAGATTCTAATAGACCAAATTATAAAGAAAAAGTTTTCTAGGGCCAAACAACAAAAAAAATAAAGATTGCAATGAAATCTCAGGGACCTAGTATAAGAAATTAATATGAATATAGGTCAGAGGTTATGATAGAGACCTCGATGAGATGGTCTATAGGGCTAAATCCTAGCAGAGACCAAATCGTAATTTTAAAAAGTTTCGGGTTAAAAAGGTAATAATAGAAAGTATGACCGAAAATTTTAGAAAATTTTTCGAAAATGGGAAATGAGACTCTAAGGCCCATATATGGTTAAAAATAACAAAAATACCCCTATAGAAATTTATGAAATTTTTAGGTTTTGGCTAGTTATGATTTATTAGCCAAAATTGAATTATTTAAAACATCACAAGGCCTTAGAGGATTGGGAAAAATAAGGAATAAATAGTTGAGGAATATAATGTGTAGAAGTTGACTTTAACAAAATTTAAAACTTATTTATACCCTATCCCAAGAAAGTCAGAATGGACGATTTGTAGGTCAAGGTTTGACTTGAGAAAAATAAGAGAAATTTCCCATGATAAAAAAGAGTTGCTGGTATCCAGAGATAGATTTTCAAAATGATGGACTGATAGAGAGAGAATTTGGTCAAGTTTACTGTAAAATAAATATTATTAAATATTTAATAGAGAGAAAAGGAGAAAAGCATCTCGCTCTCTGTGTATATACATATATAATATCATCTGAAATTATTTGTGATTAAAAAAAGTATGCTAGAACATGTCACAGCATTACCAGGCAAGTTAGAACCTAAAAAAGTATCCGATACGGAGTAAAATTATAAAATAAGTGGAGGAATAGTTAAGGGTGAGAGGAAGCATGACTTTGGCCTTATTTTCCTCCCTATTTTAGTGTTAATCGAATGAGGGGACATGGAAGGAATTATACAATATATTTGAGGATATAATTGGAAGAGGTTAAATTATGATAAAATAAGGTTTTATGATCACATGTAATTAGGTGGCATGGCATGTGGCATAATGTCAAAGAGGAAAACATGATCAAGACACCTGGCAATTTCATGGAATTACAAGGCAAAATGATAAGGGATTAAGCTTAATAAGAAGTCAAGTGTTATGGCAATGGTAAATGGTAATTTGAAGTTACCATGAGGTGAATTCTCATAACCATTTTATAAATACCCCTACCTTTCCCATTTGAGAGAGAATTTTTGGCCAAGCATGAAGGGGAAGATGAAGAGCGAATTGAGAAGGAGCAAGAAGGAGAAGATGAAGAACTTAAACGCTTAGGTAAATTCAAGCTTTAAGACAAGGTAAGATAATGATTTTTAATGTAGCTTATGTTGCTCTTTGTCCTGTTGAACTTGGCTATGGCTTTGTTGGATTTTGAAAACATGAAACCCTAAGATGAAATGCTGTCCAAATGTGATTAAAGTCATGGAAAATATTAATTGAAGTTAGATTAATGATTGAAAAGAAGAAAAGAGAAGTAATTAAATGGTTTTGTGATGAAATTGGAGAGAATCCAACTTCTCCTTATGTTGTATGATTTTTAGTCAAGACTAGGTTTCATCTTAGGATAGGATTTTGATGTTTCTAATGTGTTTAAAATAAAAAATTGTGTAGGGTACAACTTAAAAAACAAACTTGGAAGCATTGGAATTGAAAATGAAATTTTGCTTTAAAACCCCTATGTATTCGGCCATCTCTAGATGAAGAAGAAGGAGCTGGATTCTGTCAAATTTGAGTTTGAAAATGGATTCTACATGCAAAACTATATGAGAATAGCGTGTGAAATTAATTTTAGAAAGACTAGAATGAAAACTCAAAAGTTAGAGGTTAAAGTATGTTAAAGAACAAATTATGAATGTTATTGATTTCATAGTTCTAATAAATGAATGGTAATAATGTGTTAATGTGATTAGGGCCATATGATATCAAGAAAGATGAATGGAAAAAGGTTGGTCAAGCAACCTTGATGGTTGGAAGCAAAGGGAGCAAGAGGAAAGATTGAATATAAAAAGCTAAAAGTAGCAAACTTTACCTCTTATGTACTTGTTATTGCTTGCATATATGACATGTTTGTATACTTATATGATTTAATAAACTCATGTATTGTGGACATGAATACGTTTAAAGTATACTATAGGCTTATGTGTTTTATAATGAATGCATGATGATTTTCAAACATATTATTATGTTATAAAGATGTTAAGTTGTGAGCATGTTATAAATATGAAGTTTGCGATATATGTTTGGATGGTTATTATTTGCTACCAAAATTCTCTCGAATCTCACTGTCTTTTAACTAACCATAACATGTATGATGTGTAAGGGAAGATCAATGCATGAGGAAGATCAAGAAAGAAGAGACAATTTGAGAAAAATATTATATTATGTTATGCATTACCTTATGTGATATATGATAAGAAGACTGCCATTAAAGTTATGTAATGATGAATGAAGAAAATGACGTATAAAATTGAGAACGAGATGTATGAGAATGACATATGAAATAGGGAGAATTGCAATTAGGTCCCACTCAAGGGAATTAAATGCAAAAAAGTCCCTTGAAATCATAAAATTATTCTGAAGTCCCAAGGGACCTTTTTACAATAAATTTTATTTGTTTAATTACCAAATTACCCTTCTTTTTTTTAAAAAAAAAATTTGCATTGACAACTGAAAGAGCAGTGGTTGACAACTCAGGGTGCAAGGATTGACAACTATCGCGGCTAGTTTGACAACACATTTTCTCAGCATATCACACCATAAGTTGTCAAACCAGCCGTGATAGTTGTCAATCCTTGCACCCTGAGTTGTCAACCACTGCTCTTTCAGTTGTCAATGCAAACTTGAAAAAAAAAAAAGAAGGGTAATTTGGTAAGTAAACAAATAAAATTTAATGCAAAAAATTTTTTGGGACTTTAAAATAATTTCATGATTTCAAGGGACCTTTTTGTATTTAATTCCCTTGAGTGGGACCTAATTGCCATTTTCCCTATGAAATATGGGAATGGTTGCATGCATAATTAAGTTTAAGTGTAGCATGCTAATTGCAATAAGGGGATAAACTTACCAATAATAAGCAATAAATTTGAGATAAAGCAAAAGTATGATAAACGAATAAATTTGCTCATGAAATTTGGTGACCAGTTCATATGCATCCTGAGTTTTAAAACAAGTGATAAATCACTATAAATAAATGAGTGTACTAAGAGGTATGATTGCTTAAAGTTAGGATAGAGAATATAAAAATGTACTATTTAACTAAATGAATAGTAAATTTTAGCAAATTAACTGTGCGAATTGAGAAGGTTTAAGTTCAGATTTATATTTTTTTCTAATAGAGAATGGAAATAGTTTTAAATAAAAACTTAAATCACCTCAATACAATTTTTTTTATAATGAGTTATGAATTTTCAAAATTAAACAAAAAAATATAGAATTTACTAGTGAATAATAATCCGATAATCAAATTTCAAATTTACAATTTACAGACTTATTTTATGATCTATTTGAACCGTAACGCCTCCGAATATATACTAAAAGAGGTAAATGGAAGAATATTTCACCAACAATACACAGGGTGACTGCATTAGCTCATAAAAAGATTTTTCAATTTACATACCATGTTTGGTTTTCTAGTGGGAATTCAAGAGGTGGCATCATATATACTTCTCCCATGTCACTATTTAATAGGGGTGTTCATCAAGCCCGCTAGCCCGGTATGCCCGCCCGAGCCCGCAAGAAAATGGCCCTGCCCAGCCCTGAAAAAAAATAGCCCAAAGAAAAATGGGCATTTTTGGGCTGGGCATATTATGGGCAGGGCAGGGCTGCGGGCATGGTATGCTGCCCTGGCCATTTGGCCCTGCCCGTGATATATATATTTATAATTCTTTTTTTTTGCCAAAAATACTTATAATAATATATAATATATAATAATATATATTATTCTCCCCTCTTTTATTTGCCATAAATACATTTAGTGGTATGCGTAATTCTTCCTTCTTAGTATCTTTTTAATTTGGTTTAGTATCTTTTAGTTTGTTTTTATTGTTGGTTGTCTTACAAAGATGCAAAAGCAAGCTCACTTTAGTGTTATATTAAAAGATATATCAATTTAAGACAAAGCAAAGTTATTGATTTGTTGAATTTATTGTTTATTCAAGTATTTATTTCTTTATAATTGTTATAAGATACCTTTACTTTAACTAAAAAAATTTTCACCAAGGTATCACTATTTGTGTTTGGAAGCCCGCCCTGCCCAGCCCGTTATTGCCCAGCCCGAAAATGGTTAGGGCTTCTATGGGCAGGGCAGGGCAGCGGGCCGCAAAATGCAGCCCACTCATTTTTCGGGCTGGGCATCGGGCAGGGGGCATGCCCTGCCCAGCCCTGCCCATGAACACCCCTACTAAAATACATTCTTTTCGTCCAGTTAGTAGATTGGTGATTCTAAATTTGCTACCAAAGACATTAGAATCCTCACAGTATTGAGTTCAAAAATATCTTTGTTGTGTGAATAAAGTTGCCTTAAACCGCTTTAATAGAATAATGAAATTTTAAAATAGATTTAGCAATATAAAAATCTAATCAGTGAATTACTCAGCCTAATGGGATTCTATCCAAAAGATTGTGCGTAGGCAAATCCTCAAAAAGGGCATGGGATGTGCTCCAAAATCCAAATGTCCTGTCATTACTTTTCCAAAAAAACAAAACAAAACAAAACAAAACAAAGTTTCAATTTATAATTTTAAAATTCTAAAACAGAAACTTCTTATCTCTTATCTCTGTTCGGTCGTCAAATAGATTCCAGAACTTAAATTGGTAATGGATGTAACGTCGCGAGGGTGATGCATAGCATGCCAATTACCAAAGCAGTGATGTCTGACAAACGTGAAGGTGAAACCCAAACATTGGTGGAGGCGGCGCTTCGTGTGCTGAACACCGCCGACCCATTCGAGAAGGCTCGTCTCGGTGACCTCTTTGCTTCTCAGTGGCTCCAAGGCTCCGCCGCCATCGTTCACCCCTATGATCCTTCGGTGCACTTCGCCGTTCCTGACCGCCCCGCCAGGCTCTCTAACGTTTGTTTGCCAAAACCTATTTTCAAACAAAAATTGTATTTTTGAAATGTCTCTTTGACGACGACGACGACGGTAATCATTTGCAGGTCAAGTTGGTGGCACCAGGCCACATGCCGAAGCTGGGTAAAGCGGGCAGCTTGCAGAGTAGGCTAGCCATTGTGCATAGCCTTGCTCACACTGAAAGCTGGGCCATCGATTTATCTTGGGTATGTCTTTTAGCTAGCTCATCCAAGAATTTTAATAAATTAAATAGAATACGGAATCATTTGTAATATAATACTGGCCCCTTTGCACATGCTTCGGTGGGAAGAAGTGTGTTTGTGTGTGTGTTTTCTTGGGTTAATGTAATTAAGAAATCATCACGTTCTTCAATAATACAAGTCAAAGAGAAAGAGATATAGAAAGAAGAAACTATTGTACTATTGTCTTAAGTTATTAAACAATCTATATATGTCCTTCAACTTGCCTTAGGTATGGACTTTGGTGAATATGTTGCTTTAACATTAAGTTTATCATCGTTTTTCTTTGTATTGGGCTATGTTGCTTTTGCACAGTGAGGCGAATAGAATCTCTTTTAAAGAGTAAGATATACTGGATGGAGCAGTCATTTTTGGCATTGCGAAACCCAGACTTCACATTTCTATAGAAATCTTTGTCAGGAGTTGGAGACTATGGATAATAAAAATAATATTTGGTTGTTTTAGGAGGATGTGCTAGATATGAATAATTGATTCTCACAAACGAGATACTTACTTTAGACCTACAAGGGCAAAGTGGGTCCCATCTCTTTCTGAATTCCAAAATTGTGGCAGGTTTCTAAGCAAATTAAACTAAAGCATTGTAGTGTTCAGTTAATTACTTTTTATTTTATACCAGTGTAATTATGTTTCCAAATATGATGATAAAAACTAGAGTTTTCCATTTACCCTGTATACCTAAAAATTGATAATTTTTTCTGCTGGTAAGAATTCGTTGTGCTTTAGTTTTACTCCTTTAAAGCGGTTCCTTGAAAGCATTTTTATAGTGTGTGCAATTTCGAGATACAGGATCAGGCAAATAAAACAAAAGAACAAGTTTGTGGAAATTTAGTGTATGAATCGGGAGCATTCATCCCTTTGATATTAATCTAGTCCTCTCAGTGTCAATTCTAATAGGGTGCTGCATTTCCTTTTATATATTAATTATGTTTAGAAACAGGGTAATTGTCTTGTATAGGAGGAGATAGTTTTAAAAATGTTGGAGGAGAACATTGCTTTAGAAAGTCAAATAAGGCTAGGATCAAGTTCATGGATAACTATATTGATATGTGCAATCTTGTATTATGTATATTGATAAGGCTTTTTGGCTACTAATGTGCAAGTCTAAATCGACTTTGCAATTGCAGTTGAACATAGTCATCTCAAAAATTTTTGTTAGCCGCATTGAGATCTTGTGTTTATGTTGAAGCTAAGCACTATGAGATTAGTGAAATATATTTACTTGTCCAGCCTTGTTTTGATTTTTTTTTTTTTTTGGAATTATCTTGGCTGTTGTTAGGATGACTTTACTTTAGAGTTCATATTGTGCTACAAGCGTTTAATTTTAATTATATAATACATTTATGTAGGATATTATTGCTCGATTTGGTAAGCAAGAGGCAATGCCTAAAGACTTCTTTACAGATTTTGTGAAGGTGGCACAAGATGAAGGGCGACACTTCACTCTTCTTGCTGCTCGTCTTGAGGAGCTAGGTTCTTATTATGGATCATTACCGGCCCATGATGGCCTTTGGGACTCAGCCATGGCAACTTCCAAGCATTTATTGGCACGCTTAGCTGTTGAACATTGTGTTCATGAGGTATGTCTGCAGGACCTCCAAGTGTGTGAGGTGAGAGGTGCAATGGTGGCGGATTAACTTAGGGGTTGTAACTAGGGTCTGCAGGAGAAGCTAGCAAACAAACTAGAAGTTAAATTAGAGGAGTTAGAACATTTAAGTCAAAAGGAAGAGAGATAGTAAAAAGTTTGAGTTTAACATCAGTTGCCCACATTGAGAAAGTTGAGACTAAGTCCAACGGGATAGTTGAAGATATTGGAGGATATAAATCTAGCAAAAAATAGGAGAGGGAAGTGATGAAATAAATCAATCTGAACCTAATAGTTTTGATTCAGATAACTAACTTAATATTGATAGGCTTTTAGATTGTTCTTCTATGTGTCTTCAGATAATTTTTTAAACTTGAGTTATTGTAGATAATATAGAAATAATTATTAAATAGTCAGATCTCAAGGGATTAGGATAGATTTAAATATTTCTTTATATCTCTCGTGTATCTCTCCTTATCCTGAATATCTCTCCATGTATATTCTTTCCATATCTCCAGATATCCCCTTCTGCTGTATATATATTGTACCGCCGTACATGTGAATGGAATAAGACGAAGTATTTCTTCCTAAAAGTCTACATGGTATCAGAGCCCCACTGGTTCTGTTCACAGCATTCGCACTCTCCTTCACCGTCCGGTCCTTCCCTGTAATCGGCCAAGTCCAGGTCGATGGATTCACCCGATTCCTCCTCCACGTCCGACCCGACCCGTGTCGACCAGCATTCTGTCTCAACCTCTAATGTCGACCCATCGCCCGTTGTGATCGTCTCCGAAAAACTCACGGATAGCAATTATAGGGAATGGGCGCAGGCGGTCCGTCTGGCCATCGGCGGTCGAGGGAAGCTCGGTTACATTACTGGTGAGTCGAGACCTCCGTCTGATTCTGCGTCTCCTGCTATGACCAAGTGGGTGACCGAAAATTCTATGGTATCCTCATGGTTGGTAAATGCCATGTCTTCCCATCTCAAACGAAGCTTCATGTACCTGCCAACAGCGAAGGATATTTGGGACGCCGTACGAGATTCATACTCTGATGGTGATGATCTCTCTCGTTTGTATGCCCTCAAAACCAGCATTTGGAGCCTTAAACAAGGTACTCAGAATGTTACCGAATATTGGCTGGAACTTGTGGGTCTGTGGCAAGAATTAGATTTGCTTGCTATTGAAGAATGGTCTTCCTCCGCTGATGCAGCACGTTACCATCAGAGTGTAGAGAAGGAGCGGGTGTTTCAGTTCCTCGCAGGCTCAACCTAGAATTTGATGGTGTTCGTAGTCGTATCTTGAGTCGTCAATCCCTGCCGTCTACTCGTGAAGCTTTCTCCGAAGTTCGCAGGGAAGCCTCCCGACGCCAAGTCATGTTACCTGAACCTACACCTTCTCACTCTGACTCCTCTGCCTTGGTTAGTAAGGCAACTAGTTCCGGACCTCCCGCCACTAAGTCTAAGGTTGTGTGTGATCATTGTAAGAAACCGGGTCATACTCGGGATCGTTGCTGGGATCTTCACGGAAAACCCAATGATTGGAAGTCTCGCAAGGGCAAATCCCGCGGTTACCATGTCTCCCATGAATCTTCTCTGACTTCCACTGATTCTTCTCCGGCTGCTCTCAACGCACAATTCACCCAATTACTTGATTTATTGAAAGGTCTTCAACCCCAACCACAGGACCCTGTTGCCTCTGCTTCCGTTGCCAGTAAAGGTAATGGTACGTCCCCTGCTCTCCCTTCTGACAAGTGGATCGTTGACACGGGTGCTACTGATCATATGACTTCAAATGCTCGAATGTTTGTCACTTATTTCCCTTGTGCTGGCCATAAGACGATCACAACGGCTAATGGCACTGGTTCTACTATTGCCGGGAAGGGCACAGTGCATATTTCTGATTCTCTACACCTTGAATCTGTCTTGCATGTTCCTCATTTAGCTTGTAACCTTTTATCTATTAGCAAATTAACCAAACATGCAAATTGTGGTGCTTATTTCTTTCCTACGTATTGTTTATTTCAGGATCTCTCCTCGGGGAAGATGATTGGCACAGCTAAGGAGCATGAAGGTCTCTATTATCTCGATATTTCTACCGTACGTGCTTTATGTTCCCAGATGCATGGTCTTGCCTCTTCGAATGATGTTTTCTTATGGCATAAAAGGATGGGTCATCCTAGTTTTTCCTATTTGCAACGATTGTTTCCTCATTTAAACATTAATAAAAATTCTTTTCCTCACTGTGACTCTTGTGAATTTGCTAAGCATCATCGTTCCTCTTTCCCCGCTTCCCAATACAAACCAACTCGTCCGTTTTCTATTATTCATAGTGATGTATGGGGTCCCTCACGTGTTCCAAATCGTTCCAATGCAAAGTGGTTCGTTACTTTCATTGATGACCATACTCGTATGTCCTGGGTCTATTTGCTTAAAGACAAATCTGATGTTTCATCTGTCTTCATGGAATTTCACAAACTCGTCCAAACTCAGTTTAATTCCTCCATCCAAATCTTGTACTCCGACAATGGCACCGAATACTTTAACCATTCCCTACATCATTTTTTGAAAACCAATGGCATTGTTCACCATAGCTCTTGCCCCAACACACCCCAACAAAATGGTATCGCTGAACGCAAAAATCGCCACCTACTTGAGGTTGCCCGGGCTCTTCTCTTCACATGTAATGTGCCCAAATTTTTTTGGGGTGATGCTATTCTCACTGCCACACATCTCATCAATCGTATGCCTTGCCGAGTCCTTTCCTATATCTCTCCGTTAGACAAACTCCGTGAAACTATTCCACTCACCCATCTTAATCATTCCCTTCCGCTGCGTGTCTTTGGTTGCTCAGCCTTTGTTCATCTCCATCACACTCAATCCAAATTTGATTCTCGTGCTGTTAAATGTATTTTTCTGGGGTATTCTTCAACTCAGAAAGGGTACAAATGCTTTGATCCTGTTTCCAAGCGTATCTTTGTCAGCCATGATGTCACCTTCTCTGAGCATGAACCTTACTTTCCTAAGCCTTCCATTCAGGGGGAGAGTTGGTGTGAATTTCAATCTAAGGAAAATGTGCCCGAGCCAATACCTCCCCTCTCCCTTGATGAGTCTATAACATCACCTAAAGTTAACCCTTCACCAAACCCGGACCAAATACCTCAGACAGGGGGAGACACAAACAAAAACAAGTACAACAAGGTCTATTCTCGACGAAATACAGAGACAATAGAGACTGTCATGCCCATAGTAGTGCCAGATTCAGAACCAGGGAAAGATTCTAGGGAGACTGAATTGATAACTGAAGATGATCTGCCCATTGCCTTGAGAAAGAAGGCACGCTCTTGCACCTCACATCCTATTCAAAAGTATGTATCTTATGCCACACTTTCAAAACATTATCATGCCTTTGTGACTAAACTTGACAAGATCAATATACCTAACAATGTTTATGAAGCACTTAAACATCCGGAATGGAGGAAAGCAGTAATTGAAGAAATGATGGCATTAAAAAAAAACAGAACATGGGAAATAGTTGACTTACCAAAGGGTAAGAAAGTTGTGGGATGCAAATGGGTATTTACTCCTAAGTACAATGCAGATGGCTCACTAAACAAGTTCAAGGCACGTCTAGTAGCGAAGGGTTTCACTCAAACCCATGGAATAGACTACAATGAAACATTTGCCCCCGTAGCAAAACTCAACACCATAAGAGTTTTACTATCTATTGCAGCTAATTTGGATTGGTCACTACAACAGCTAGACATCAAAAATGCCTTCCTAAATGGGGAATTAAAAGAAGAAGTGTACATGACTTTACCTCCAGGCTTCGACAAGGGAAGAAGAAACCAAGTGTGTAAACTTAGAAGGTCTCTGTACGGTCTGAAACAGTCACCAAGAGCATGGTTCGATAGATTCTCCAAGGTCCTAAGAGCTGAAGGCTACAAGCAAAGGCTATCTGATCATACAATGTTTGTCAAAAAGAATGGGAGGTTAACAACAATCCTCATTGTCTATGTGGATGACATCGTTCTCACTGGAGATGATGAGAAAGAAATTAACAGAATCAAGGCTGCTCTAAACCAGGAATTTGAGGTCAAGGATTTAGGCATCTTAAAGTACTTCCTTGGAATGGAAGTTGCAAGGTCACAGAAGGGAATTTATGTTTCTCAGAGGAAATACATTCTGGACCTACTTAACGAAACTGGCATGCTTGGGTGCAGACCGAGCAAAACCCCTATAAGTACCAAGAAGAGCAATAACAAGAAGAAAGTCATGACAGAAGAAGAAAAAAGGAAGCAAAGGAAAGATGAGGAACCAGTAGATATCGGAAGATACCAAAGACTGGTTGGAAAGTTGATTTACTTATCCCACACAAGGCCAGATATTGCTTTTGCAGTAAGTGTGGCTAGCCAACACATGCATTCACCAAAAAAAAGGCATATGGATGCTGCCTACAGGATATTAAGGTACTTAAAAGGGACACCTGGAAGAGGACTATTCTTCAAGAAATGTGACTCTAGAGCCGTGGAAATTTACACTGATGCTGATTGGGCAGGAGCTCGAGAAGACAGTAGGTCAACATCTGGCTACTGTACGTTCGTGTGGGGCAATCTTGTAACATGGCAAAGTCAAAAACAGAAGGTGGTCTCAAAAAGCAGTGCAGAATCCGAGCTGAGAGCCTTAGCACAAGGTATCATGGAGGGTTTGTGGCTGGAGAGAGTAGTTGCAGAAGCTCATTTGCATATCAATGGACCACTAAAACTATTCTGTGACAACAAAGCTGCTCTAAACATGGCGTTAAACCCAGTACAGCACAGCAGAACCAAACATGTTGATGTTGATCGGCACTTCATTCGTGAGAAAGTGGAGGAAGGACTTATATGCCTCTCCTATGTAACTTCAAAACAGCAACTAGCAGATATCCTCACCAAAGGACTATCAGAAGACATATTTGAAAACTTCATCAGCAAGTTGGACATGTTTAGCATCTATGATCCAACTTGAGGGGGAGTGTAGATAATATAGAAATAATTATTAAATAGTCAGATCTCAAGGGATTAGGATAGATTTAAATATTTCTTTATATCTCTCGTGTATCTCTCCTTATCCCGAATATCTCTCCATGTATATTCTTTCCATATCTCCAGATATCCCCTTCTGCTGTATATATATTGTACCACCGTACATGTGAATGGAATAAGACGAAGTATTTCTCCCTAAAAGTCTACAGTTATGCATTTTATCATTTATCGATAGCTTATGATTGACTTTTTATGTATAAAGGTTTCTCAATTTATATTTATCTATTTTTTATTGTCTATGCTCTATAAATAATATTTTTTAATTGTTGTGCCTAGCTTCATTTGGGCGAGCACCTTTTCTGCGCCGTTGGGCATGTTTGAGTTCTTGTGCCGTGAGTGCCCCTTTCGCCCTTGACAACCTTGGTCCTGTCTGCCATTAATTTAAGACCTCTCTAAAAGACCTATTAGGCTTGTATATAGAGCATATTCTCCAATCACAGTTATTCCTGCCACACATATAATTCTGCTCGTTTTGAGTATGTGAATAGTGGGGGGGGGGGGGAAGATTTTAATATCTCATAAGGCATTTGTGATGAACTGAATGTAATAAACATGTTAAAGTTGATGAACTTGACGTGAATGTCAAACTTTCCGTGTTTGCATCCTTAAATGATGTTTGGTTGTAGAAGGTTTTCGGCTACAGGGGCATTGGAATTACAGCTCCCCCCCCCCCTCCCTTCTCTTGTTTTGGTACAGAAATTACAGCTTTTTTAGTTCCTCAGGAGTGAATGTTCTCAGATTGTGTTTTTAGTTCCTCAGGATTGAAGGAAAATAGAAGCTTGGTGACACTGCTGTAGCTATAATCTGACTTGTATTATTGACGCAGGCTAGAGGACTTGATGTACTGCCTACAACGATCTTGCGATTCCGCAATGGTGGTGATGACATTACAGCCGATTTACTGGAAACTGTGATTTACCCAGAAGAGATTAACCATTGCGCTGCTGGAGTGAAATGGTTCAAGTATCTCTGCAGCAGATATAGGAATCCGGCCACTGAAGAAGGTCGAGAAATAATCGATGCAGAAGAAAGTGATACCACAGCAGATGAGAGGCAAGTGATTCAAGAGTTTCATGACATAGTGAGAAAGTATTTCAGAGGACCTTTAAAACCACCTTTCAATGAGGAGGCAAGAAAAGCTGCTGGATTTGGTCCAGATTGGTATGAACCTCTTGCTTCAAAAGAAGCAAATTCATGACAAGGATAGTTCTGTTATTTGTTACAAACGTCATCGCTGTAAAAGAAATGTTAGTTCCTTCGTTGGAAGATCTTAATGGGAAAGCTGCATCACCTTAATTTGTTTAGATATTTAATTTATCAAAATGGCGTTAAATTTGTAAATTATCCTTTAGCAGTGAATAATTCAAGCCTGGTTCGTTTAACCTGATGGATCGATGGGCCAATCCTTTTCTCGTTAATATTTGTTTGGGCAGCTGAGAAGGTTAATGTCTGGTCTCTATCCTGCATTCACTCCGACTTACACATGAAAAGAGCTCATTTGCCTATGAGGTTATGTTGATAAATACTCAATCGCTGTCCCCATTATAGCATCCATCTACCTATGCTTTTCTTACGCTGTTATGTCGGTTGTCCTCGAGTCTTTAAATTTAGAAAGAGGTAGAAAGAGATACGGTTTATTTTTATAAACTTCAATTTGAGTTTATTTTAACATTTAATGCATTTTTTTAAACATTATCCTTAATTATTTTTCTCGTATCGTGTTTTTTCACACATTCTTTTTTTTTCATTTATTATAAGAATATATTTGGAGACAAAAATATATTTCTAACCTGTTTATTATTTTAACTAATTTTAAGTAATTGTTCTTTGTGAATTGGTTATTTAAAGCTCATAAGGACTGTAGGGAGTACTTTTTATGTTACCGACACTAACAAAAGGATTGAATAGAAATTTTAATGCTCTCTTTAATAAAGGTAAAAATGAAAGATTTTTTTTAAATTTAATGCTATTATTGTTACGCAAGAAATTCCTAAAAGTGAGATGATTGTGTTATGCTACAGTTGGTATCTGGAGGATTGTATCCTTCATTAATGTATTTGTTATACTTCCAAGTAATTGGAGTTATATTCTAAAATCCATAAGAGAGTTGGAGTAGCTAATTCGAGTCATGTTTTCCTGAGTTTTGGCCAAACAAAAAAATTGAGTAATCTGAGTCCAAGTTAATTATATGTAATATTGGAGTTGTTTAATCCTTTAGAACTTATTACCTTCAGTCAGAGATATGCAAACTGGTTTGTCTTTTAGTTTGGTCTTAAATATAGGACTTCAATATATTTTGTCTTTAATATTTATTCGTTTTTCCTAAAAAAGTCCTTATAATAATTATACATGTCAAATATTTTATCAAATGATAATTTTAGTTAATACATATGATTAACAATAATATTTTAGAAAAGACAACACATATTTATTACTAATAATTAACTTAACTAATTTGTTTAATATCTGAAAACTAATTATTTAACTCTTATATTAAGGACTCGAAGTAGCAGTTATAATTGCTTATCAACTTATTACTTCCAAGAAAAGAAGTTTGCTTTGTAAGTAACAATGGCATCTTCTCATGGCAACTTTGTTGACAATCATGGTTTCTCTTGGGGCACTGTGACATACCTCAAGCTGACAAGAGAGTGAAGATGGGCTCCGACTTGTTGCTCTCTTTTTTTTTCCTATTAAAAATGGGGCATTCTGGTTTTGCAATCCCTAATTTGTGCATTTAACCTCATATGGAATTTGTTAAATTTATAGGCCTGAATTATAATTATCATAATTCAGCTGCCTTTAAAAGAAATTTCCCAAGGTTTAAAATAAATTTGAACTAAAAATTTGAGATAAAATAACAAATTTGTACCATTTTGTACCGGCGAAGCTTGTGTTGTTAATGGTATGTTTATTCAGTGGCAACAATATAACTTTTGATGCTTTTTATTTTGGTCTTTTCATTTTATAAAATGTCTTTTCAAATGCAGTTAGTTAAAAAAATAAAAATATTGAAATTTTAAATATTTTAAGCTATTCTCAAAGGATAAGATATTAAAGTTAATTTTCAAAATAACAATTATTGTAAATAGATATCATTTGATAGTATTATGATTAGAAGATTAAAAGATATTTTATAAAATTAAAAGACCAAATTAAAGCTTATAAATTTAGAACAAAAAATGTTCTTCTGTCTTTTTTATTACACAATTTTACAGGGAAAATTTTATTAAAGGACTACTAATGTGATTTTATTTCATCAGTCTCCAAAATTCTAAAATTTTACTACACTACTAAGGAACTAAATGAAATTTTGTTTTGACGGTAAATGACCAAAATTCCATTTCTATATTTGGGCACTTGTAATTTTTTCCCCGCATGAAACACTTTATATCCGGACGTACCTCACTTTAACTTGAAGGGTTTATCAGGAATTCAGACTAATCCGGATTAAGTTAGGTAAGATCATAAAAGTGACAAAGCTCTACCATCAAGTATTTGATATTGCTACATTCGAGCTTGACCTCCATTAAATTTTGTTATTATTTGCTGTTAAAATGCATGTGTATATTTATAATATTAGTTTATCAACCCTTGTTTTTTTTTTGTTGTAACAAAACGTAAAATTCTGAGAAGTGGGAATTGTAAACTTCCTTTTGCACACTTTTAAAATTTTAGTAAAAATTGATTCTGTAAGTTGTGAGCTGTAAATTTTTACATATACATTTATCTTTTGTTATTATTAATTACTGAAATGTGTATATATACTTATAAAAAATGGACGCAGAGATATTCCTATTTAAAAAAAAAAGAACGAAGGAATTTTGATAATTTATCATAAAAAAACATAATTAAATTTTGATCTTTTAGTGATACAGTGAAATTTCAAAATTTTTTTGACACTGAATTGAAACAAAGTTCCTTATAAACGTATTTGTTGAAAGGTTTTAACTTTTAACGTTTCTAATGTGATAGGGACTAATCTCAAATTTAAAATAATTTGAAGATACTTTAATTTATACTTCAAAAAAAAAAAAAAATCTTTCAATGACATTCTCCCAATTCTGTTTTTACCGAAAATAATAATATGATCATGATGTCAGCAATTTATAGTGCTTTCCTTACGAAGCAATGCTGGGAGTTGAAACTGCGGGTCTCTTTCTCTCATCATGCACCGGGCGAAGCATGAGAAAACTCAATAATTCTGCTTCTCTTCAATCCACATATCTGATCTTTCCTTCACTCTGAATCCATAGGACCACTTTCTAGGGTTTTGAATAAGGGATAAAGTTAAAGCTGATCATTTCTGGTTATACACACATTCCTATGCACATCCAATCACCAAGACTCACTTCACTTCTTCCTTTTATCTGAGAATACAGAGGAGGGATTGCTTGCTTCCAAGCAGTCTCTGGGACTTTCCTGAGCTCTGTCCTCCTCTTGGGCCAGTGTGAAAACGCGATCCTAAGGGGAGGAATTGTTTGGATGTAGCAAGAGCTTTGCGGGGAGAGATGTTGGCGATGGAGAAGGATTTTGATTCCAAGTTGAAGATTCAGAGTAGTCCGTCTGGTGATGGGAGTGTCCAGAGATCTCAGAGCATTCCTTTCCGGGCTCCTCAGGAGAATTGCTCCATCCAGGATTTTGAATTGGGAAAGATCTACGGCGTTGGTTCTTATTCTAAGGTCCCATATGCTGTAGTTTATGCATTCTTTTTGCCTGGTTGTTTCGGTGTTGCTTTGCTTTTGTCTTTTCCTTTTTTTTTTTTTTTTTGGGCGGGGGGGTAATGCTTGATGCATGCATATATTCTCTGGTTGATATTTGACTTTTCTATTTTTTTTTTTTTGTAAAAAAAAATGAGTCGATTAATCTGTTCCGTTCTTTTGGTTACCATCATCAATGGGGATGATGCTGTAGAGATCATTATGCAACAGTGTCATCCTTGTTGCTATATAACGCGTGAAACATCGTCTGATATCTTGTAGTGGATTGCATATACTTATAAGGTATATCAACTGCCACTCCCGAATCAGTGGTTGCTGAAAATGTAAAATGGCTCGCACTCCCACTTTTTAAGCTAAAAAAGGAAAACTACGTTGTGCTCCATTCATTTTTAATTTAAAATTCTGTGAAGAATATTGGTTTCTTGATAATATGTTGTAGGGGTTTCCTTCCTTTTTCTGTACTTCGGAAGAGAAATCGAGCCTCAACTTAACTTTTGAAGTGGTAAATAGAAAATTTCATTATTTGGTTTCTCCTGGTGAATTCATAGCAAGTTACATAGTGTTACCCATAAGAATCGCTAAACATTTGAGACTTGCTGTTACGTGGCACAAGAGTAACTAGTGTAACAGACTTAAGTGAATAGTTAGTTAGACTCAAACTGAGTACATTAGATTCTAACTAGATGTGGGAATGATATAAGTAACCCACGTGTACCATTTGTTGAGCTCTTGAATAAAGAAATCAGTTCCTCTGTGTGTGTGTGTGTGTGTGTGTGTACCAATTGCCATTTCAGTTTAGGTTAAAAGAGAAGCGAATGATAGGAAGTAGAAAATGAGATGCCTGGCTTGACTGTACCTGGTAAACTCTAGACGTCTATTAATCTGATAAATCATTATCTTGGAAATTATGGCTAGGTTGGTAGTTCTTTTGCCAGAAAAAGCTCTTTTTTCCAGCTCACTTGGAATTTCTTGCTGAATGTGAATCAGTTTAATGTGAACCTATGTAATTGTTATCCAATTTGAGTCTGCGTCATCTTAAAAAAATTCTAGTGTTTTTAATCTCTGCCTCTGCCTCTCTTGACTTATCTCCTCTGGCAGATAGTTATCTTTTATCCATTTTGTTTGAATTTCTTTGCTGGGCACCTATCCCATTTGTCAACAAACCTATATGCTTGAAGCAAAATCCTCTTACCATTTTTGCCATTTGACTTTCTAGATTATTTCAGAAATTTTAGTTTATTTAGTTTTTCTTGTCTAATTATCTCCAAATATCGTTGTCATTGTGTTCAAAGGTTGTGAGGGCAAAGAAGAAGGACACGGGATCTGTTTATGCATTGAAGATCATGGACAAAAAATTTATCACCAAGGAGAACAAAACAGCTTATGTGAAGTTGGAACGGTTAGTGCTTGATAAATTGGATCATCCTGGCATTGTGCGGCTGTTTTTCACATTTCAAGACACTTTTTCTCTGTGTACGTATATTGTTATGGAGTTTCACTTTATACTGTACACTTTTTCTACCTGATTCTTCTTGTGTCCTCTTTTTTCTTTCAATTTTCTTTTTGATTTTTGTCCTCTCGTTGCTTAGTTTGGTCTCCTATTTGATGTTGTTATCTTTTTCTTCCTTTTTTGTGTACTTTTTCAATGGTGAAGACATGGCACTTGAATCCTGTGAAGGCGGAGAACTTTTTGATCAAATAACCAGGGTAAGCTAACATAAGACTCAAGGCATGCACTCAATGTGTTGGGTTATGAATTATGAGTAAATCATTTGAGAAATTATTTTGAAGCCTGTGCTGAAGGTGTTTTGGTCGGCCAGATGTAGTTTTAGTCCTGTCTAAGCTAGATCTTTTTATGGAAACATCAAAACTATGATGCATGCATTGATTTTGTTATTTTTAAATTAACTTTTAATACAAAAGGAAACTAAAAACTGCTTGAAGATGGCATTTTCAAAATTTAGAATATTTCTTATATGATTTGTTAGTTTGAGGATAATTTAAACTGTGGTAATGACGAGGGTGTAAAATATAGTTAGTCGGTTCTGATTCACACTAAACTTATTATTTATAGGATAAGCAATGCTATAAAGACTCAGAAATATAAAATAATCAGAGAATAATACTCCTCTTAATTATAAAATGAAGTAAACCTAATCTCCCTACGAATAGGCAATCATATTTACAAACATAAACAATTACAATCAGGACTCCCCGCTAGTTGGATCATGCAGGCCATATGTGCCATTTTTGTTGCAAATGTTGAAAATTTAGGGTCTTAATGCTTTCGTGAGAATATCAACTACTTGATCGTGGGAGTAGACATGGCTAGCGGTGATGATCACATGTAGGATATTATCTCTCATAAAAGATAACTAATATCAATGTTTGGTCGTTGTGAAAGACAGGATTTGAGACAATCTATAGGTATAGCATGATTGCCGCATCCGAATGTCATTATGTTGAGTGTCCAAATTGAAATGAGTAATTTTTCAATCACAAATTCATATGTTGTTAATGCTATGGCATGGTATTTAGCCTCAGCACCATATCCTGCCACAACGTCTTGTTTCTTGCTTTTTGGGAGACAAGACTTTCCCCAAGTAAGATGCAGTGCGTGTATTGTATTCTCCTAATATATTTTTTCACCCTACTTGGGTGTGTTTGTGATTCCTATATACCTTTTCTCAAGTACCCCTTTGATATGCCCAAGGATACACAAAAAATGCATCCCAGTAACAAAGGGAAACAATTACAAGTATTAAGGCTAATTGTCAGCCATTGGCATCAAGTGGCATCAATTTGTTTACCTTGTATACATAACATTATAATTATGTAATCACATTACACAATTGAGTATGTGTAATATACCAATAAATTCTAAAGATACTAAAAGATCCCATATAATTCTATTCCTAGAAAATAGGGATATATATGCAGTGATATATATATGATAAATAATAATTATGATTATGCGATCATAACAATAAAGAACTGCCTATTTTTCTCTATACTATTCGCATTACTAGCTTACATTATTAGTGCGAATTTCGTAATAAATATGAGCAGAACCAAAGTTGGTGTTCGGCCTAAGCATCTACTGGAGAAAGTTTATGATTTCTCCCATGAAAATATTTGGTACCAGTTGGGCCTTTCCTTGCATAACTACTTTAACTAATACTATTTTGTGGAATTTGGAGCTTGCAGAAAGGTCGGTTGTCTGAGGATGAAGCACGATTCTATGCAGCTGAAGTTGTGGATGCTCTTGAATACATACATAATTTGGGCTTGATACACCGTGATATTAAGGTAGCTCTGTGTGACAGTTAAACTAGTCTAGGGCCTTAAGTAGCTATATGCCTAAATATATCCCAAGGATTAAATTTCTTAAATTGCAGCCGGAGAACTTGCTGCTTACAGCTGAAGGACATATTAAAATAGCTGATTTTGGGAGTGTGAAGCCTATGCAGGGTAGCCAAATCATGGACTTCCTTCCAAAAGCAGCATCAGGTAAGATCAGGAGCATATTTGAAGATGCTTTGTTCCTTTTATGGTTATTCTTATATATTATCATTTCATTTTTATTCTTAGATGATAGAGCCTGCACATTTGTGGGGACAGCTGCTTATGTCCCTCCAGAGGTTCTTAATTCTTCTGCAGCAACATTTGGGTAGGAACCTAAGTATTCAAAAATTATAAGCGAATTGTATATTGCAGTGGTAGCATTGTTTCTTATCCTAATGTCTTTGCACCCAGATTATTTATTCATATAGTGTTTTGTTTTCATTTCTAAGATTTGTTTGTTCCATGCCAAGTCTTTTCACAGTAATTATTATTTTATTTTTCTTTCACTTATAATCTTCACACAGAAATGACCTCTGGGCCCTTGGATGCACATTATACCAAATGCTCTCGGGAACTTCTCCTTTTAAAGATGCGAGTGAATGGCTAATTTTCCAAAGAATCATAGCTAGAGATATTCAATTTCCTGACTATTTTTCAGATGAGGCAAGGGACCTTATTGACCGGTTACTGGTTAGTATTTTCTTATTATGAATACAGAAATTGCTGCTTTGCTTGTCCTCTATCAAATTGATCAGTTGAAAGCGCAAGGAATTTTTCTGGTAGGAGGATTTCTAGCTCAAACTCTTTGGGTTTGTAAACTTGTTTAAATTTTTTTGACTCAGTTGAAATTCACTTTTGGCTTTCTTTCTCTGGAAAACCGAGTTCTTTTAGCGGAAGGTGATGCTGAACAATATATAAGTAATAGAGGAAAAGGGGAAGGGAGAGGGAAGGAAAAAAAGTGAGATGTGGAGAGAAATAAAGTGAGAAGGGGAGAAATATCTGGCTAAAAAACCACGAGAACTTATTACTCAAGCATCCTATCCCAAAAATATCACAAGGTTTGAGGATGTGAGTAGCACCCACTGCCTAAAATTCTGTTTCTTGCATGGTTTTTGTATCGACAAGTTTGTGTGTGCTGATAGGAGCTGCAGTGGTTGTAATTTTCAATTGAAAACAGCCATGTTATTATGCCTCAGGATTTGGATCCCAGCAAGAGACCAGGTGCAGGACCTACTGGTTATACTGTTTTGAAAAGGCATCCATTTTTCAAGGGAGTAAACTGGAGTAACATTAGGGATCAAATCCCCCCAAAACTTGCAATGGAACCGGGGGTATGACTTTAATTGAATTTTCAAATGATTAGTATGGGAAAATGGAGGAAAGGAACCTTGTTTAATCTGTCCTTTCCTTCTTGATGAACATGAAGGAATTCCTAACCATACTATCTACATTTCATTTTTTGTTGCAGTCACCTGAAGGTGATGATGTTTATGATTCATCATGGAACCTTTCTCATGTTGGTGATGGTCCTGTTAGGCAACCTGATGGAAATATTGGTACTACATCATCTTCTGAGGGGTCTGGTCACGTAACAAGGCTAGCCTCAATGGATTCTTTTGATTCAAAGTGGTACTCATTAGATTCTTTTTTGTGTCTCAGTGACGAGGAGCCGTTATATTCAGTTGAAATGTTATCATCTTATGGAAAATACGAATTATTGTATAGCTCATAAATATACTTGTTAAACAAAAGACTTCTACATAACTTTTAAGGATGTGTCTGGACTCATCTGGTTGGGTCAAAATCCTCTGCTTTTGATTTGCTTCCTGAAGAATGGTATATAGTCTTTATGTTGTACTTGTCCAGTGCCATAAAGGAATATGGGGGGAGAAATTATTATAAAACTACTCAGAAGCCTTTGATACCGTCTAGAGCCTTCCCGATAAATGGTCATTTTTCATAATTAAATTGAAATTTCATATTACCAACAAAAATACATTCCAGCACGTGGTAGGTGTCCTATTGCTGGTACTTTGATGGCTCAAATTACAATAAAATATTTATGCATTCTCACTTGACTGCTGATGTTCACATTGTGAATGACCGAAGCCTCTAGTTTTAGACTCCAAAGAAGAGTTAAAATGCCTTGGACATTTAGTAAAAGTATTTGATTGCTTACTTTAGTGTTAGCTATGTATAATTGTATGTAAAAGACCATGTTTGCTTCCTAATAGTCATTAATTGTGTTTCTTAATTTGCAGGAAACAATTTTTGGATCCCGGCGAATCTGTCATTATGATCTCTATGGTAAAAAAGATGCAGAAACTAACAAGCAAGAAGGTGCAGCTTATCCTTACTAACAAACCAAAGCTGATCTATGTGGATCCGTCAAAGCTTATTGTGAAGGGAAATATAATATGGTCTAATAATCCAAATGAGTTAAGCGTTCAAGTAACAAGTGCTTCTTGTTTCAAGATTTGCGCTGTAAGCCTTCTCTTCACCTATCGTTATATGATATTTGCTAGCTATATGGATGATAGTCAACAGTCCAGCTTCCATGATTAATATAGATATTGTGATGATGCAGGCAAAAAAGGTATTGTCATTTGAGGATGCCAAGCAAAGAGCTTATCAGTGGAAGAAAGCAATTGAAGGGCTACAAAACCGGTGATATTCCTTTTGCATTTGACAACAGCCTTTTACCTCTGGACTATCCTGTGATCAGAGTTATTCATCAATATGAAATTCAGTTGTGGATTTAACCTTATTCCCAAAGTTGGCTCAGTGGGAAACCTGAAATCACTGCTTTGTATTTGTATTTGCATGTTAGTTCAGCCATTCATGAAAATCTAGATTTAGGGTTGAAATTAAACTTTTTAGGGGTTAATAGTGTATTAATTTCTAAGCTTGTTGCCAAGCCCTGATCAGAATGGGATTTGGATCCCTCAATTGAGTTCTTTCAATTGAGCCTCACTGCCATTACAGACATTTTTTAAAAAAATGAACTCCTAATTTCTCTCCCAATATCATTAGATCACAATTTACTCTCAATTTAAACTCAATTGAGGTTAGTTCACCCAAAAAAAAAAAAAAACCTCAATTGAGGGGGCATGAATTGAGTGGATCCCACGATGTTTGCCATCTTATTGAAGAAGAAGAAGAGCAATATGTTTTCAACCCAAAAATAAATAAATAAATAAAGATTTGAAAAACAGAAACTTTAAACAATTAGAAGTAGAGACCAACAACGGAGGAAAAAAATGTACTGAAGCAATTTTAGGGTAGTCCATAATCCATAATGAATTAGTTTTAGAACAAACTTGAAATAAGTGTTGTGCACAAGAATGAATGCATCTGAAGTATTTTGTCATGCATAAACATTGAAAAGGTTAAAATATACATTTGGTCTTTTAATTTTATGTAAGGTTTTAGTTTGGTCTCTTAACTTCAAAAAGTATACTTTTGGTTCTTTAGCTTTAAAATTGTTAGTCTTAAATGATGATTTTTTGTAACAATCATGGTTATTTTAAAAATTAGACTTAATATTACATCATTTAATGGTGTTTGATCAATATTCAAATGCTCAATATCATTGTTTTTTTAACGGTTTTAGAGTTAAAGAACTAAAAGTTTATTTTTTAAAATTAATGAACCAAAATGAAATCTTATGTAAAGTTAAAGGATCAAAAGTATACTTTAGTCATATTAAAAATGATTGGGGTTTCAGATATGCTTTTATTTGGTGGCAGCTCCATCATTTACGGTCCTTTGTTTATCACAGCGTGTTCATTCTAATTAAGTTTGGACCATTTAAAACTTGATATGGACAGTTAATACTTAAATTTTTAACTTGTAAATTTTACTGATAAAGTGAGACCATTTAAAATTTTAGGAGCTAAAACCACAAATTTGAAATTTGAGGAATTGAAACCGAAAGAGGCCTAGATTTCTAGAACAAAAAATTATATTAACTTTTTTATATTTTTAAAATCTGAAATTTTCCAAATCCTTTTAATTGATGGTATGGATGATGTTTTCCTATCGATTCTTCCTCGATTGATTGAATCAATAAGCAAAATTCCTGGCAATTCAATTCAAGCCCAGACGCAAGAAACTGACAGTGTCATGAATTTGCCAATTCATTATCATCCATCCTGGCAACCAACCCGTTCTACCAAAAGGGATTGGCATTTTGATGACATTAGTTAATAAAAATATGCTTGCATCTTCTTCGAATGGGGTATTTGGCAAGAAAGATTTAAGTAAATTAAGTCTAAAAAATTGTACAATACTTAGATTAAGTTTCTCATATTTATTATGTCAAATTCTTAAAAAACAGGAAACTGAAGGTTTTAAAGTAAATGATTATAAAGGATTAAGACACCATTTTTTTACCATTCTATTTATCATTCGATCCTTAATATAAAAGTTAACTTTCAATTTACTTTCAAAATATAAAATCCCAATCCACTTTGCTTTTCATACTTATTTTTTTTTTTTTTAAATAGACCTTATAATAATTACACATGTTAAAGATTCTATCAAATGATAATTTTAACTATTACACATTATTAACTTGTATTCTAAGAAAGACATCTATTTATTATAAATAACTAACTTAAAAAACTTCTTTAACCTACTCAAATTAGTCAGCTAGTTTTTATATTATAAATCGGAAGTAATATATAGACAGAATAGATGATATAAAAATAAAAATATTAATCATTAAAACTGTAGATTGATAAGATATTAAGAATAATAATCAATGCCCGAGATCTCTCATCTAAGAGGCAATCATAGAAGAACATATTTACAAATCGCAAACCAAATCTCGTGAAAATCCCCAGCAAAAAATTCAATGGGGTAAAACTAAGGATCAGCAAAGATTGACCGACCTACCTGTGAAAACCATCCTCTACTATAAATCCCAACCATCTTTCCGACCGTTAAATTCACACTTGGGACCCAAACTACCATACATCTGTGAGAATTTAACAAGGCAATTACTTCTCAACTGATAATGCACTTTTGTGTTCTTGCTGATTGCTGCACCAGAGAACTTTGATGTGTCAATGGCCCAAGCTGGTCTCACATAATCAACTGTCCTGGGTGACTCTGAACTTGCATTGGCATACAAATAATTTAAGAGCACATCTTCACAGTTAAAATACTTGTCCACCAGATCCCTCCCTGGCTTGGCTTCTTCACCCCAGTACCTCTTGAAAGCTACTTGAGCATCGATGAAAGCTGCGCCGGTAAGAATCATATTATACCCTTTATGCCTTCGGGCATATCTTTCTGGCCTATATGTTAATGGGTCCCCATTGATGAACCGGGGATAGAATCCGACGATCCGATCTGGGTGCTGACGCCATAAGTTAAAACCTCGCTCGACATCATCACATGTCATCATAATGTCGTCGTCAAGCTCAAGGACGGCTCGTGTTTCAATCAATGGATCCACCTTGAATCGATTATTCAGTGAGTTTCTTTCCTCTACCCTGATCCTCAATGGTACTGCTGAATCCAGATCACTCGGTTTGGGAGGAACTCCCTTGTTCCAAACCACAACAATCTCCCGCACAGAAGAACATCTTGAATAATGTTTCACGTACATCTTCAAGTTCCAGAGACGAGCATCATAGGTCATAGTCAATAATGTGAATTGAGAATACTGTCCTTTCCAGGGGTATGGTGGTTCTGAACCATTGCCCCCGTAGATATTTTTAACCCCTTGACAAATTAATCCAACCACCACCGCAAATACCATAGCAAGAACCACCCTCCTAGCACACGTACTCTGCTTGATTTTAACTCGGACAGATGTCAGGGCCCGGTTTACGCGGCTCAAAAGCCTTATAACTCGGGACAAGAACAAATTTGATCTTTCCCAAGCCATGAAAGAAATGTTCCTCTTCCCAGAGCTATGTACGAACCAGCTGTGAGGGAAAATACAGTTGACAAGTCCAAGTAACACACCCATTAGCACAACGAGAACAGAAGCACCTATTATTGAAGCATAGCCAATGATGAAGCGTCGGACTAAGTCCCCAGCGTGAACACGATCCCCATCCATAACTGCAATCCAACCACCAGATGGCAGCTGCTGCACATCTAAGTGATGGTGTCGAGCACCATTCCAGGCATTTGGACCCTTTTCAGGCTCAACAAAATTGAAGGGTACTTCAGTTTCTTTATACTCTTCATTGGTAAGAGCTTCTATCTTAAAAATGCGGACTCGTTTAGCATACACTTCATCAGAGTCCTGACCAATACGGAAAAGATTCCCTCTGTAGAAAAATGGCCTGCCTCCATTGGGAGTTCCCACACTTTTGTCAATGTTATATATGGGGCTTTTCCGGTGAGGTATCCAAGGACCAAGAGGTGAACTACTATGCCAAATCTCCAACTGCCCATTTTTCTTGGTCCCAAAACCACTATGATCTGAGCCAAAAAGCCAATACTTGCCATCATAATTAATGATTGAAGAATCAACAAGGGGCCTCTTCATGATCACCTTTTCCAATTTCCATTGCAAAGGAAAGTTAAGTGCTCTGTAGACACGAAGTTCACCTTTTTTACTGCTATCAGGCATCATATATATCTTAGACACAGAAGAAAGAAATTGTAAGAATACTTACATTGTACTTTGGATAAAATTTTAACGCAATGAACAGGCAAAATACAAGTTCACATGCATTAATGGTTTTGTCAGGACAAACTTTTTCACAGGCATTAACTGAAAGCATACAAGACCCGAATACTGCATAGACCAGATCTAAAGAATAGTTGCGTTCAACGCCTTTCAGATACAAAGTTAGCAAGTCTATGAAATAAAGCGGCAGTTAAAATTTATTGTCCCAATTACCTAGCTAACAAATTATGCCAAAGAACCATTCTCAATGTCTTTATGAGTAAGAAATTCAGCTTATACCTGGCCAAGATATTCAAAGACATATGGATAAGAAAGATGCCAGTCCTCATTCAAGGCAATGCCTAATTGTTGCCATGTAACTCCATTGTCAGTACTCTTGGCGACTCCAACATCTCCTTGCGAAGTGATTGAATTCTTTGTCTCATAGAATAGGTAAAATGTTCCTCCCTGAGTCATGGTGCCAATATGAATAAGCAGAATAATGTTATTTATCCATACAAATGACCAACAAAAAAGAAATGAAAGAAAAAAAGAAAGCGTAAAACAGGTTAACATCATCTAACCATAAGGAGCAAAAAAATGCTGATGGATGGAATGAAGCGACAGACTAGTAAAAATGGAATCAAACAATTTGAAAACAAGAACAATTTGCACATCCTTGTCTATTAATGTGTACGTATCAGTTAGTAACTCCCACATCTGGATTCTCTGCTCAGCATTCAGCTCAGCATAGTTTGCTTGGTGGTGCATCCAATTCGATGCATGCGATATTTTTTTCCAGCAATTGATGGATGCAAGAAAGAGACTTTCACTTACAGTCTCTTATTATTAATCTAATCTCCAAATAGTTAACGTGATCCAATGCCTAAGAAAAGAGACGCACAGCGAATGGAAATATCTTATGCAGCAACAAAAATCATGTTTACGTGGACAAAGCAGAAGGGGAAGAGGTTAGTTCAAATAAAATATTAGTATATATAGTCAATATAACTTATTCATTTTAGTATACATTTTAATATGTTATCAATATTTAAAATGAGTGCTACCATCAAAGCAAAGTCAGGTTTACGAGATTTTGATCTATGTATACTTTTCTCTCGTTTACATGAAACCCAAATTTTCATATGCTGTAAAACCTGTTTTTATTTTGTGTGCATTTCTTACCATGGAAGTTAGATTTTGTGGACACTTTGGAGTCATTTGATGTGCCTACTAAGTAGACTCTGCTCAGCTGGGTGCTTATAGAAATCAGATGCAGTAAATCCCAAATCCATGCCACTGAGAGTTCCCCAGAGAGTGCTGAAGCTTGGAACTCATGCATACAAATCATTGAGGCTTCTAGATAGGATTTTGAGTTCACATGATTTTCAAGGGAATATGGAAAAACTAAAAACCTTCGAGTCAGCCAACTAAATATTTCACCAGTTTGCCACTCTAGCAACGTCAAACTCTTACAAATTCTCAACACTTCTCCATTAGAGAGCACATCATCCCTTCCCCTCACCAGAAGTGCATGTGAAAAACAATCAATTTTTCAGAAGAAGTTCATATCCACAGAGCTCTTGGAAATAATGGTTATGAAACCAACAAAAACTAGCCTATCTTCACACATCCTGACATACAACCATCCTTTCATTTTAGGGATAGGAAAGTATCAGCAATGAAAGAGTAAGCTACAAAAAATAAAGATGGCGGATAAGAGTAAGATGTTATCCTAAAGAAATTAACCTGTAAATTAGAAACTAAGGGGGGATTTGAATTGTATTCTCCAAGTGAATTTCATCGCCACCATAATCCCATAAGGTATTTATCCTTAATTGCACTGTATTGCCCTACAACAGCTAGGAAAACCAGAAACACTCTCGTTTTCCACTAACAGAATTTAATGTTTTCTGGGAGGGGAACTTGCTTGTCTATAAGTTGCAGTGCATGGACAACCATCTTAAATAGTTCACAAGCCTACAAGAGAGAATAATTAAAGATTGGCATTCAAATCATAGATGTTGCATTAAATAACCCAATAGATCATATGAATCATATTTTGTTATCAACAATGCGTGATGATGATCCAAGGGTTATATTGATAGCGCCTTTTAGTTTCCATGATGTCTTGAATTCAACCAGTTCAATTTATAAATTCTCATCTCACATTGCACCTCAAGTCTATCAATCAGTCCCCTCTCAACTAGTCCTTCAACTTTTCAGCATCACATTCTTAAGTAATTATATCAAGGAGGTTGCCTGAATAAACCAAAAGATATATCAGTCGTATGATAATTGCAGGCTATTTAGACTTCCACTCTGGGAAGCCATATTCTCCAGCTCCAAGCCAAAATCAACACCGTTGCAATTTTCTTCCATTAACTAGGCCTTTAGTTAGTTCATTTTTTTTTTTTTTGATGTATCCACAAAAAAGGGGAAAAAAAAAATTGGGAGAGATGTTAGTGAAATTATCTATGACGTTTCATAATTGCCCACAAACATTGATGGCCAGCAGAAACATAAGATAAAATGTTGCAAGTCTTACATACATAAAGAACAAAACCAGAAAGGAATTTTCACAAAAAAAAGAAAACAGAAAGAAACAGAATTGACTCTAAAATGTTTTGAAACAGAAGATGCATGAAGCAACTCATAGTGACCAAAAAAAAAAAAAAAGGACTTATATACCTGAATATAAAGAAAAGGATCAGCTACAAAATTGCTCTGAAAACCAGCATCAGAAAGTGAAGCGCAAGTTACCACGGGGTTGGCTACCGGCCAAGCAGCAGTTTCATTTTTCCACACGTTTACCTGCATACAATTGAAACAGTCAAATCCATGGGTTGAATTCAACAAATTGCAATTAAAATATTCGTCGGACTATAATCGCGCAAGATCAATGATGTCATTTTAACACCCAGAGAAAAAGAAAAACAACAGTTCGTCACTCACGTTAATAAAAATAACCAGAATACGGACAACAAAAAAAGAACAGGGCTTGCCAATTTTTTTTTCCTAAATAAAAAAATTACATTTATGGGAAGTAGACAGAGGCATGCCCGTAGGAAAGCGAGTATACTCAAAAATTGATGTGGAAAAAGAGAACAGGGAGCAGAACACGAACGAAAAGACTTACAGCTTCGATGGGTTTCAGAGAGAAGGGAGAATCACCGTAGAAAATCCCAATTGACCAAGAACCCTCATTGTCCTCCTGACAGCCGAACGATGACAAGTCCATCCGAAAAGACGGCGTGAACAAAAGCCAAACATAAAGGGTGGCAATCGATCCGAACAATACCAGACACACAAAAAAGAAAACGAAGCCAGAAGAAAATAAGCGGCTGTAGAAGTGGTGATGGGGTTCCAGCCTCCATCTACAAGAGCATTTGACGGTCATGTCACAGCAACTACAACTCCCGCCACTCGTACCGCCGCCGCCGCCGTAGCCACAGCCTCCAACCAGGTCCATACCCATATCGCCAAATAGTGAAACACACGGCAGTGGATTTCCAAATACACGGCAGAAAATGCGCTCACCTAAAAAAGGAATTTCTCCACCGTAACCGAAATCAGTAATCACAAAAGATTGTCACCGAAAGGATTTAGGAGCCACTGCCACGATATCCCATCCTTCCGAAAAGTTTAAATTTTTTAAATTTTAAATTTGCTTTTCTGGGCAATTCTCTCTCCCCGGTCCCGTACTTTCGGTTTTCAGGTTATCTAACGCAAATTCTTACGAAAAGTTACCTCATGCTTGCAATTTCCCACCGTCTTTGTTTCTCTTGTCTGATGTAACTTTTAGAATTCAGATGCAGCATTTTCTTATTAGCATTTGCAATAGCTGTTATTATTTTTATTATTTTATAATTAATATTCCTAATTGCTAATATAATTAGTAATTTATTTGTCTAGATTTTGAGCGATTCAATAAGAAAATTAAACTATATTTTTATCATAACTCACACATCCATGATACTACCTCCGTCCTTAATATAGAATCTCGTTTGACTTTTATTTTGATTCTAAATATAAGATCTCAATCCACTTTATTTCTAATATTTATATATTTTTTTCAATATAGTCCTTTTAACAATAGTAGTTCTAGCCAATGCACTTGATTAGCAAGGATATTTTAGGAAAGACAACACCTATTTATAACAAATAACTAACTTAACTTCTTTCCTTAATTTCCTCAAACTAGTCAACTAGCTCTTATAATTAGGAACGGAAGTAATATTTTTTTAGAAAGCCTTGAAAAAATACAACCGCTGATAGATCCTATATTAAACTAATTAGATTTTAAACAATTAATTTATGTGAAACTTTAAAATTAATTAGTATCGTTGTTACGAATTATCAATGCATACAAATGTATATCGATTTAATGCAACTAAAGTAAATAAAATCGTAAAAAACATAAAATTTTTGAAAATTCATAATATAAGCATACGAAGAATATTAACTCAATGCTCCGCCATGCCTAGGTAACACTGAGTTCAGATGCTGGAAAGCCAGAATAACAGGTCTCTTTTGGCAAAAAAAAAAAATAACAGGTCTCATTCTATCATCAAAACATAACATGAATTCTTTTTTTTTTCTTTCCTTTCACGTTTCTCATCAAACCAATAGGGTAATTGTTAGGGGGAGTTTGAGTTTGACAACACCCTATAATCACTTAAAAAAATATTTTTAAATAAGTTGAGACAAAATTCTTTTTTTTTTTAGTTTACGGTAATAAAAATTATTTTTTAATTAATTTCAGAGGTATCCAAGCTCTTCCTACCTCGCTGTAAAATGAATTTTTACATGTTTATAAATGATGACTATTTAGTCAATGATAGAGAATCGGTGAATGATTATGAGAAGAAACTTATATAAATTGAACTACAAAGCTATACGTATTCTACATGGCGGTTTGAAAAAGAAGGATTTTAAGGGAGGGGTGGAATCAAATAGTGCAATGCTACGGAAATTTAGAACACACTTGAAGAAATTAACAATCTAGTGAAATCTGTAGCTAAAGAAGATTCAGACGAAATGATTGAACAATTTACTCAAATTTTACAAGCAAAAAAGTCTCAACACATTTTTTTATACGTGTCCTTCTATTGAAGACGTTCCTATTCGAAATACTGTCAAGTATTAAATTTAGATATTATTCCTCCCACAGGTTGTCTCAGCACAATACATATTAGCAAAAGAAATCTCTTTGCTTGCTCTTTGCAGATCTAAATCTTTTTAAAAAAAAAAAAAAAAAGGAGATTCAATGAAATACCCTTAATTATGGATACATTATTGATGAAGAACTAAAGGACAAAATAAAAGAGGGGAATTTTATGATGATAAGTTTATAAGACATACCATATGAGATTATTATCTCGTCAATGCAGGTCATATCAACATAGGGACGTGGCCTTGTCATTGTCAATTCAATAGATAAAAACATTATTTTATATCAACAAGATAAGATTATCCAGAATGGTGGAGCTACCATTTTTCCTTTTGAAAAAGAAAAAACACTCTTGGCAATTAGGAATTAAAATGAAGGATGTGGAGACAACTTTATCTGGTTAAATAAAGAGAGAATCACATATGGCTGAGCAACTAGAACAAAGGATTATTGGAGTCCATATAATCAAGATAAACCTCCATAAAGAACTAAAGGAGTAAGAGATAGATGTATACTAACGCACAATTGTATCAACAACCATATATATATATATATATATATATTCAGGTAATTAAGCAAGTTGCAATCTTATCTTTTATAGCAAAATTAGAACTCTACGTGTTACACTGTTACTAATGGGGTTAAGTATAATAAAAGGATTAAATCTATTATAACGTGACGAATTAAGGTTTGAATTTCCTCTAGAAAAGATACTCACATTTAGTGTCTGATTGTACCTCAAATAGAATTGCCTCAAATAGAAAGATACGTAGCAAAAAAAGAGGACTCTATGTGTTAATTTGGTCAAATGTTTCTCTATCATCAGTTTTATGTATGCATGTATTTGTCAAAATGTTATTAAGGTGCTTCTAGCACCTGAAGTATTTTGTCAGATATGATCAACATCTTATAATATTTTTTAAGTATATCCAATACTTCAAGGTATTTTGTGGTGTACACACCAACTTAAAAAATATTAAAAAATATTTTATGGTGCTTGATAGTCATTCATTTAATTGACCTTTTGAGAAATTAATGACATAGTTGAAGTTGCTCACCAAAAAATACTTTAAAAACATAACTGCTACTAAAAACAAATTAATATTTTAAGATCAAAATTACATCACAAAATATTTTAGGGTACTAAATGCACTAGAAAAAAATACTTAAAAAATATTAGACGTACCATAAAATACCTTAAGGTATTGGATTCACGTGACAAAATATTTCAGTTTAACCCATGATTAAATGATGATAGCATCAATCTTCTGCAACCATCTATTTACATTTTCCTATATAATACTCCTCTATTTTTTTAATATAAGATCTATTTACCTAATTTGATTAGATTAAGAAAGTTAAGTAAGTTAGTTAACTATAAGAAATATGAAATGTTTTTCCTAAAATACCATAATCATTTTTCTTAATATCCTCTGTTTCTCATCTACTTGATTATAGTTGAGAGAGTATCTATAAAGGTAATTTAGAAAAAAATTGATAAATATGAAAATAGGTCTTATATTTAGGATGAAAATTAACTCAATAATTAAGTTCTATATGAAAGACCAGAAGATTATCTAGTCTGCTAGCCATACACTTATCACGTACCTTATATCATAGGGATCTCAGTTCAACAATTAACACAACATTTTTTTTTTACCAGCAATTAACACAACATTCAAGGGCTATGCCTTTTTTTCCCCACATATTAAATAAATGTGGGAACAAATCTTAAAAACCGCAGCTTCAGTATGAATAACCAAGTATCTAAAAGTCCATGCATAACGAGAAAAGAAAAGAAAGAAAAATAAATAATCAATGCCCCATGGTCATGTAAATAGTACTCAATATGAAAAAATTGGATGCAAGTTGTGAATTTCACATCAATAAACAATAGACATGAACTTGAGTCAGACTTCAGGGAGAATTTCATTTAGCTTTCCTTATAAGAACTTTATTTCCAGTTATCCCCATATAACTTTGAAATTCCACTATACCATTTTGAGGGTAAAGTGAAATTAAGTTCTAAAGTGAAAAGACAATAATAAGCTTGCAAAGAGAGAAACAAGAAAAACAATTATATGATAATTCACAAAAAGAATAAGGTCATTTACAGCTAGAGTAAGGCCATTTGCAAGTGAAACAAACATTCACAATAAATAAGAAAGTTAGAATTTATAAGTAGAATACAGGAATTTACAAGTAAAGTAAGGCGATTCATGAAAAAAATAAGACTATTTATAGTTAGAGTAAGGCCATGTTTATAGGTGGAGCTAGCTAGCATTCGTAATAAGTCAAAAACTTAGAATTCACAAATTGAATACGACAATTTATAACTAAAATATAAGGCGATTCATAAAAGAAATGAGGCTATGAGTTGTGGAAGGAGGCATGAACATAAGTATGTCATGAAGTTCATTAGAAAGCACTGGAATGGCCAATTTATTGCAATCGCTTGAAAGCTATTCACCACACTACTCTTAAATACTACGTCTGGTCCTTAATATAAGACCCTGTTTGATTTTTATTTTGGTTCTAAATATAAGACCCCAATCCACTTTGTCTCTCATATTTATACATTTTTTTTCAAAGTAGTCCTTTAATAATGATAGTTCTAGTTAATACACTTGATTAGCAAAGATATTTTAGAAAAGACAACATTTATTTAGGACAAATAACTAACTCAACTTACTTCCTTAATCTCCTCAAATTAGTCAACTGGCTCTTATAATTAGGATCGGAGGATAGTATTTCAGTTTCCCCCTTAATCATCACCTAATTACTTTAAATTATTGCACAATTACTTATTCACCCTTTGTGAGTAGGAAAATTATGCATATGGATGACTAGAGGTTTCGCCTCTTTATTAGTGGCACATGTTCTTTTGAAATATGTAACTGAAAAATTGGCAGAAGAAATCAAGAATTTTTTGGTTTGGGAATTATGTGAATTAATTGGTTGAAGCTTCAAAAGGAACTGGATTAGATCCATTAGAACGTACCGGGTAAAGTTATTCTTTTTACATGAAAGAATAATTGGGATCCAAGGAGAGAGAAATAACTACAAAAAAATCCCAACAGTGAGTGAGAAATTGGCATTTCATATATAAAAACTTGTCATTATTACATTACATTGTTGTTCATTAAACTTTTTAGTAATTATGTTTATTTGGTGGGATTTTATAACAATTTTCCCTTTTACATTCATTCGTTTGTTATTTGATGTACTTCAAAGTAGTCAAATTAGAATCTCATTTTTGGGAATATTATTTGTTTGCAGTTTCTCACAATAGTCAATTATGAAAGGAATGCAAACAATTGTGTACTATAAAAAAATTTCCAATGTTCCATTTGTTTGTATTGGCATTTTTTGCTTTCATTTTCATCACTGTTATTGACTATAAGTTAATGTTTTCCTGGGTAAAGGTGATTTTTTAACGGAGAATAACACTTAGGTCCTTTGCAAGAGAAGTATCAGCACTTTCTTTTTTACTCAAAAGAAAAAAAAAAGATAAGTTTGTTATATTTATTATGTCAAGTTTTCGTATCTTCTTTTTTTATATGAATTTATAATTAAATGTTATTA